TTCGAGACCCGCCTGGGCAGCAAGACCTCATCTCTACAATAAATCAAAAATTAGCCGGGCGTGGTAGCGCATGCCTGTAATTCCCGCCACTCGAAAGGCTGAGGCGGAAGGAACACCGGAGCCCAGCAGGTCGAGGCTGCGGTGGCCGGGAGCGGCCTCTGCACTCCAGTCTGGGCGACAGAGTGAGACTCCAACCCAAAATAAATAAATAAATAAAAATAAAATATAATTAACACAATATACTGTTTTAATAGAATAAAGGACAACCACCACATAATCATCTCAATAAAAGTAGAGAAATAATTTAACAAAATTTAACACCCATGGGGGGAAATAAAACACCTCCCAATAATCTGAAATAAAAAGAAATTTCCTCAAATGGATAAAGGGCGTTTATACAAATCATATAGCCAACATCATCCTTAATGGAACAATACAGAACGCTTATCTCTTGAGATTGAAGTGTCCTCTCTCACTGCTTCTGTTGAACTTTGAAAGGAATTATCACCAGTGCAATTAAGCAAGAAAAATAAATTAAAGACACGCAAGTTATAAAGAATAATAACAGTCTATTCACAAATACCATGATTCTATATGGAGAAAACTCTAAAAGATAGAACTAATAAGCAATTTGAGCATGACTGTTGAGTACAAGATCATTATACAGAAGTACATTGTGTTTCTATAGTAGCTATAAAAATGTGAAAATAAAATTAAGAAAATAATTCTATTAGTAAGGCTTTCAAAAATAATAAAATATTTAGGAAAAAATAGGAAAGGTAATATGATTTGTACACTAAAAATTGCAAAACACTGCCAAGAGAAATTAAGAAACATCTAAACAAAGAATGAGACACTTTATGTTTACAGATCTGAAAACTTAATACTGTTAAGGGGCCAATTCTTCCCAAATTGATCATTAGGTTCTATTTGACCTCTGTCATGACCAATGCAAGTTTTTTTAAAAGAACTTGACAAGATAATTATAAAAATTATATAGAAATGCAAAGCACCTAGAATAGTTAATATATATATATATTTTAACTAATTATATATGGAAGACATTATATATGGAGGACTTACAGTATCTAATTATATATAGAGGACTTACAGTATCTAATTTCAAAATTTACTATAAAGGTACAGTAATCATAAAAGTGTGATACTGTCATAAGGATAAACATATAGAGCAATGGAAGTAGAAAGTTTGCAGAAAAACCTTCATATCTGTGATCCATTGATTTTTGACAAAGATGCCAAGGCAATTTAATAGGGAAAGAGTCTTTTCAACGAATTGCATTGGGACAATTAATTCCAGCTGGAACAACAAATAATGCTGGGACAATGCAACAAATTTTAAAAACTGAACTTAGAATCTCACCTTACATAAAAATTAAACCAAAATGGATAATAGAAGTAAATGTAAGAGCTAAAAATTTCCAAAAAAAAACAGAAGTAAAAATATTTCTTACTTGGGGTAAGGAATATATTTCTTAGCTATGAGACCAAAAAGCAAAAAATGAATATATTTAGGCTTCATCAAAATTTTTTAGATGTGTTCTTCAAAAGACAATATTATAAAAATGAAAAGCTGTATTACAGGGAGGAAATGTTTACATTTATATGTCTGATAAAGGACAGGTATCCAGGATCTGCAAGTAATGCTTATTATAGCTCAAGAATAATAAAGACAATCCAAATAAAACATAGGTAAAAATCTGAACAGACGCTTCACCAAAGAAGATATATGACTAGCCAGTAATCACACAAAACAATGCTCAACAACATTAATTATCAGAAAAATGCAAATTAAAGCTATAGTGAGATGCCACATACACCCACTAGAAGGCTATATTCAAAAAGACGGAGAAAAAGGTGTTGATGAGAATGTGGGAAAAATGGAATTCTCATGCATTGCTGGTGGAAACATAAAATGGTACAGCTACTTTAGAAGAAGTTGGCAGTTTCTTACAAAGTTAAAGCTATAATTAACATAAAACCAGCCATTCCACTCTTAAGATATCTACCAAACAGAAGTGAGAATATAGCATGCTAAAGTTTGTGAGTGAATGTTCATAACAACATTATTCTTCATAGCAAAATAAAAATGGTGGTCATTCACATGTACATCTTCTACTGGATGAATAATACAAAATGTGGTATATGCATTCAATGGAACACCATTAGAGGAACTAAACATATAACATGGATAAACCCCAGAAGCATAAAACTAAGTGAAAAAAAAAAACCCCAGATACTAAAGACTACATATTTTATAATTTCATTTCCAAGAAATTTCTGGAAAAGGAAAATCTATAGAGACAGAAAGTATCAGTAGTTGCCTAGAGTTGATGGTGGGAGGGAAGATTGACTGCAAACAGCCATAAGGAATCTTTTTAGAGTGATGAGAATGTCCTACACCTGCATTGTGGTTATGAAGTAAATAAATCCATAATTTACTAAACATCATTGAATCACAGAATTACACTATTGAATTTTATGTTACTTAAACTATAACTTCACAAAGCAGTTAAGAGAAAATTGCAAGATCACAGAATTTGCAATCACATGTAAATTCATAAAAATCAGGCACATGATCTTTAATGTGGGTCAAAGAAAGAAAATTAATTTAAATGTAAAAAAATGGGATTTGGCATATGAGCCAAAATATAGGAAAGAGATGTAGAAATCATTGTTGACTAAATCTATCAGCCCTAAATATGGAATAAAATACAAGGGAAAATAAAAATATCATACTAATGTGTAATGCTGAGTAGACTCCAATGAACTAATCCTTCCTGTTATTAGATACAAATATCTTTTACTTATAATAGGTTTTTTTCATTTGAGCCCAAAAGAAAGTACTATGTCCCAGTGGGAAAGGATTAAGGATCTGAAAAAATAGACATTTGCAGTGTCAATTCTTATAATACAGGTAAGAACTAAGACAGGAAATTAGAACTTGGAAGTTGACTTTTAGGAGAGATAACAGTTCTAGATTCTTTTTGGACCTTGACTTTGTGGGGGCAGGGAGAAGTATTTCAGTAATGGAGGTATGTAAGAGTGGTACAGGATTACAGAAGACCACTGACACAATGCAGTAATATTACAAACAAAAATGACTTCAATCTCAGACAATGAAAAGTGAATACAAATTTTAAAACCTTAACCAAATAAATTATAACGTAGTTTAATTGCATATCAGCTTCTTGGGATCTGACACAAGTTAAAAATTACAAAAATATGTATTTATGAAGACTTCAGATGAATTTGTAGGTAGTAGATGAAATTGGAGGTATTTAAGGTCCTTGAAACATCAAGAGGTCTCTAAATTCTTGCTGAATTGAAGTAGTCTTGATTGGTATAGGACTGCATGGCTTTTACAAACATTTGCTCATCACTTGCTCCCCAAACTCTTCCCAGCACAGTGCTTGGCACATGTTAGATAACCAATTGGTAGCTAGTGTATTAATGAATGCCCTATGGCTTTAAGGTTTGAGAGTTTCTTTTTTGTTGTTGTTTGTTTTGTTATTATTTACTTTCTTTTCTGGGAAATTATAATTTTATTTAAGAACTCACTTAACATTTGACAGTCATTGGCAAACACAGATCAATAAATTGTCCCTTGGTGCCACTTCCCAACGGGACTATTAAATTGTCCTTTAAGACAAAAGAGTTTGGCATTTCTCACATTTTTATGATGGGCTCCGTAAAACCTATCTCTCTGATACCTCTTTTACTATCCTATGTTCCCTCTTATCTCCCTGGATATTGTGCATGTGCATATTTATTTCTATATGGGTGGAGTTAGTTACTTTTATATTGCGATATCTGTGTCTCTGCAGATATTTATTGCGTTGATATGCTTTTTAATGACTTCATGTTTATCATGTAACCACACTGTAGTACATTTGAAAATACATTATACAACGTAAAACACTGAAACACTGACCATATGTAAGCCACTAAAACTCCAGAACTAAAATCAACACCTTGAAGATAAGGCATCGATTTAGATTGAATTTTTTAAAAGAATATGCCAACAGAATAAACAATAAGAAAAATTAGTATAAATGAAGCAGGAAGTGATCTTGTAAAGATAAACCATGGTTATAAATATAATTTGTGTTATAATTGGGATATTAAATTTACTCAGTAAGTTAGTGTATTTTGTTCAGCTTTATGTTTTGTTGTTGAGAAACACAGCATAAAGTAAACTGTAGCATTAAAAGCCAGCCTCATTCCAATTTATTTTTATAGCACAGTGCAAAACAACCCAAGCTTAAAGTACATTCAGGCACTGAGACTTAAATCCCTAATGGTAAGAAAGTCGTTCCATAAACAGATGTGATCATGGATTCTGAGTTTATTTGCTTGTGGCAAAAATAAAAGAACCAACTCAATAAGTTTTAATTTATAGGCATCTATCCCAGAAAGCCTTTGGGCACTTTGAACAAAACTGACTAAAAATAAAATTTAGTAAAATAAAACCTCATCTGCCCCACTCTCCATTTACACCAGGGAATGTAAATTCCCCAACTGGATAGAGGAGAGTTTTCTGCATGTCTTCCCTAGGTGCTCTCTTGGGGTTGTAGCTATGCTGTGCTCTAGAAGAGAATTTTATGATTGGCCTTGCTCCTGACACTTGGGAATAGGGAAAAGGAGCTAGGGATGGTCATTTCACTCCAGAAGGTTTTCAGAGAACCATGGCTTCACTTGACCTGTGGTCATGCAAACATGCAGAGCTTTTCTATTCTCATCCACAGGGAATATAATATGTCCCTTTCTCCATCAGAAATCTCCTTCATGTATTATGTAAAACATAAAGACTGTGCTGGTTTCTAATATGTATCTAAATAGCAGCAAATTCTCTGATCCTAACACTGGATGTATGATATACTAAAAATTCTTATTCAAACAGAATATAAATAACAGAACAAAGACATAGGTGCATGGTCCTGACCTTGAAAAGAAGGCCTTTTCCTTCAAGGCCTGCTTACCTCACATTTTGTTCTTCTAGAGTCTCGCTTGTGAATTCCAGTAGGTCAGCGGCTGTCCCCACAAACATAAGAAGGAGTTGAGAGAGCTGGTCTCGAGTGATCCCACCTCCAATGGGTAAAAGCCATCTTCCGATTATTAGCATTAACAGGAATGTCTGATGGAGTCCCAAAGTCCAAACTTTCTCACATACTGTAGATAAGTTATTTACAAAAACTTTGGCCTATTTAACAGAAATGTCACAGAGACAGAAAGATTATGAGCTACCCCTTTGGGGGGGGGAAATCTTATTCACCATGGCTTTCAATCAAGACGGCTTTTGCGAACAGTCATTTTCTGGAACTATTTTACACTTGCTAAAGAAAGTAAAACTCTTTTAAGCTGAACACTCAGAAAAAAAAATTCTAATACAGTCCTTAAGATAAGGCTGTCTATAACTAGCAGGTAATTTAAACCTTACACTTGCTAGTGGAATTGAACTACATAATATTCAAAGAATCAATGTTGCATGTTTTAAACATCTCATCTCATTTTTATACTCTGTAACAAAGTATAACACATAGTAAAATTTTATAAATTCCATATTAACATAACAAATACTTCCAATATTGTTCTTTTATAGATTTTAAATCTGAATTTACTAATCTGGAAATATTCTTGGCACAGTATAAATCTTTCCTTTTGTTTTTTATTGCTTTAAAACTCTATTGCATCCTACCATAAAACTGTAAAAATGTTAATCCATTACCTACAAGTAAAGAAAAAGAATAATTAATAGTTATTATCTGTATTCTGATTATTTAACATAATATTAAATAATCCCTAAACTAGCAAGCAAATTTTATTTTGCCCTTATTCTTGGACTCAGAGAAATTTATATCCCACTCATGTATCTTGGATGACATCTCTTGACCACTTAACTTCTAAATAAGTCTCAAAGTATATTATTGACCCTATAAGTTTCTTTTAAAGACTGGAAGGACTTAGATCTCAAGTTGATTGGATAATGATTCTAATTTATTTATGCAAGTGACTTAACTATGTTTATGCAAAATTTATTTACCTCTTTCCGCCATTTGCTAATATAAAATGCACAAGTCAAGGAAGGATAAAAGACAAGGTGTGATGCTAAGCTGATTGAAGCCATGAGTGAAGATCAGTAATATTTCATTTGCACGTGTCCATATATCACACTTATGAAACTTCACATACATTTTATTTAAGTCATAGAGGAAGCACATCTTAAGTTAACTATTAAGATTTTTAATTGTCAGATGAAAAACCGAGAGGCAGATTAAGTGACTTGTCTGATGTGATACAGAGAAGTTGTGATTGGAGCTTAAATTAGAACCCATGATTCATTCTATTTAAATCCCACAGAATCAATAGCCTATCTTACTGTTGAAAACATGTTTCAGTGATAGGGTCCTTGACCTTGAGTCTCCTCTTTACATCATTTTAAAATATATCATGATCAGTTTGCTGAATATCAGACATGTGAAGAAAAGGATAGTCATTCTATTTTGGCTGAAGAACTTCTCTGTCTTATTAATACGCATCAAAAATATATAAGGTGGAAGTCCTAGCTAATTCAATAAGGCAAGAAAAGAAAATATAAGGTATGCTGACTGGGAAAGAAACAGCAAAGGTTGATATACAAAAGTTAATATCTTTCCTACATAGTAGCAAAGAACAGGTGAAATTGCAATTAAAAACAAAATACCAATTACATTGGCATTCCCCAAAATGAAATGTTGGTTCATCATTTTTAACAAATGACTTACTCTGGTGCAAAGCTTGATGAATGGAGTGCATATGGGAAGATTCTGAACCTTCTCAATTTTGCTATGAACCTAAAACTGCTCTACAATAATAAGGCCTTGAATATATATATTTAATATGTAATATCCAAAATCTTTTAATTATATAATTCCTTCGCAAATGTATACGTCTCTCATTGTTCATATATTGTCTGATTTAAGTGTTCCTTAATACTGTATTAAGTGTTCCTTAATGCTGCAAGTTAAATATATCTACAAATATATACTATCTATTAATATATAAACTAAATCTGTTAATGTATCTATTAATAATCTATATACTTATTTACATTGAATATTTAATAATATATAAAATATCATTATTTTGTGAATTACTGATCCAAACAATTAAATAGTTGATAAATTTCTTCATGAATGAGCTGAGAGGTATATAGCATGTTATCCTCACCAAGTCCACCATTTGCTAGATTCTTTCATATATGGTGGAAAAAGTTCTTACCGTTTCAATGAGATCATCTGCTCCATTGGTTTGTTCATTGGATGTCAGTGTTTGATTGAAGTCTTCTTTTACACTGGTATTCTGTGGCACCCCTTCTGATTGGATACTGCAATGCTAAGAATGGTAAGAAGAGATGAGAGACAATATGACAAAAATATCACAATATGGTAGAATTTTAAATGGCTTTGATCTTCCAAGAGATTATGAATAGATGTATGGTGTTTACACAGCACATAAACATTTCCAAAAACCAGAACATGGGCTTGAGATTGAAAAACCACTTTTTAATTAATATGAGAAGAGGGTCAACTGTACATGTTTAATTTTTTCACAGTCCATGAGAATGCAATGCTGAATCATTGTGGAGAGTTCTGAAATTTATAGATTGATAATTAAGTTTCTTTATTGAATTCAGCAACAATTTTATAACAAATAACCAGAGACAATAATAAAGCATGTACTATCTTGGTCAAGGCATTTACAGTATTTTAAGAGTTTGTTCAGGCCGGGCTCAGCCTGTAATCCCAGCGCTTTGGGAGGCCGAGGTGAGTGGATTACCTGAGCCCGCAGGTTCGAGACCCACCCAGGCAACTTGGCGAGACCTCATCTCTACAATAAATCAAAAAATTAGCTGGGCGTGGTGGCACATGCCTGTAGTTCCGGCTACCTGGAAGGCTGAGGTGGAAGGATCGCCAGAGCCCAGCAGGTCGAGGCTGCGATGGCCAGGAGCGTGCCACTGCACTCCAATCTGGGCGACAGAGTGAGACTCCAACACAAAAATAAAATAAAATTTTAAAAAAGAGTTTGTTCCTTATCCAGAAACTCTTTATCTAAAACACCAATTTGCTTAAGTAAATAATCCAATTATTCTCAATCTTGCCTGTCAAGCACTATAGCAACCTAAAAAATTAGCATGTTCACCCACCAAAGCATATATTTTAGAGTCAGTTCAGATGTCAATTTAGGTATATGGAAAATTCAAACACAGACTTACAAAATGACATTTTTTTCTTTCTTATTCCTCATTTTGTACATAAATTTCTACAAGTGAACTATGCATGATTTCTATCTACCAGGTGCTAGGAATCTGTGGTACAGTAAGAGAAGGAAAACATATACAAGAGAGGAAAGAGGTGGCACTTGAAAATATAGCTCTATCCAATGCATATTTTATAAACTGATTTAAAGAAAAAAATTGAGGAGTTTTTAAACATCTGCAGTGTTAACATAGTTCTGAAACACACAGACACACGTCATCACCCCCACCACTACCACTAGCACCCCTCCACGATCACACGTTTGTATTTAGAGAGAAATTATTTTTCAAAAAAAGGCATAAAAAAGGTATTTTTCTTAATTATTCTGGATACTCCATAGATAATTCCATGAGCTACTTGAAAAAGTAGAAAAGAAAGTCTGCCAAGAAGCTATTTTTTTCTACCCTCCATCCAAACAGCTAGTGTTATGGGTGAGATGACAAGAATAATTAAGAAAAATGGCCATATGCCATATCTCTGGGAGCAAAAATACAGCTGTTTGCACACTGTGTGTGTGTGTGTGTGTGTGTGTGTGTGTGTGTGTGTGTGTAGCGCTAAGGCTCTAAGAAAAGATAATGAAGATAAAAAATTAAATCTTGAACCAAGCAACAAATTCTCATTGCAGCATGGTGTTGTGACTCTATCAAAGATTTATTTCAATAGGAAATATATTTTGGTCATTTTGTTTGCAGGCATGAAAGAACACTTTATATTAAGAGTGACCTTAATATGTTTTTGGCATTCTTATCACTAAAAATCCATAAACATCTTGTTATTTAAGAGAAAAAAAGCCATCCTTTTAGAGCAGTAGATGATAAGTTGGAAGCATGTAGCTTCGTAGTTATATTATGGTATTAAGACTTAGCTGAGTTATTCTCTACTTTTGTTACTCTATTTGTTATTGACTAAAAAGACTCTCCTTTTTTTAGATTAGAAAGCATAGTTTATTTAGAAAGTAAAATTTTAGATTAGAAAATATAGCTTATTTAGAAAGTAAAATTTTAGATTAGAAAACATAGTTTATTTAGAAAGTAAATTAGAGAGAAAGAGGAGATTCACCTCCCCAAGGTAGGGAAGGGGGTGAAAGCTTAAGAAAACATGGCTTGACCGTAGCTCAAAGAGCACATGATCAAATCATAGCTTAGCAAGGCAATGGCCAAGACTCTCCTTTAAGTGATATCTACATTGAGACTGCAGTGAACAAGGGATTTGACTCCTAGAGTCTAGCCTGATTTGTACTGTTTTTTGTTGTTATATTGTTTACATTCAGCATTATATAGATGAGTTCATGTCGATGGTCTGGCTACCAGCATGCCATTTTTTTCATGGGCTGTGACTATAAAACACTTAGCTTCAAAAATAATCCTTTGGGTCATAATAGACTGTGACACCATCAAGACCAGAATGTTCCCATTACTTTAATTGTGCTATTTCATAAATAGACCTAAGAGCTAAGGTCACAATCACTGTCCTAACTGTTTTGTTCCCATACATGTAGACCCAGCCAGATTCAGGAATTAAAGTATCAGTTTGGTCTTCTAGAGCAAATGTCTTCATGAAATAGTTCAGGATATTTTCTTAATGCCAACTCACAGGCTAGAATATATATATTTAGGATATAGAGTAAATGGAAACTATGAAAGGAAACTACATTACTCTTTTTCATCATGAAAAACTGATATAATTCTAATGCAAACTCCTCTAAAACAGAAAACACATAACTGAGAAAGGCAGTGTGGTTTAATGGAATTCATACCCATTAGATTCTAAGTCCCAGCACTGCTGTTGATGGGCTGTTTGGCCTTAGGAAAATTACTTAACCTTTCTGAGCCTCAGAGGCCTCGTCTATAAAATAAAAATGTATGTACTATGCTTAACTTATGGAGTTACTGAGTCCATAAATGAGAAAATGTTTATGAAAGTACAGGGGTCTATGTGAAGAAAAACAATTATTGTCACAACCAAAATTTTCTAAATGAGTAGACTAGGGTTGCTGTTAACTCCCTTTATTCTGTCGTTTCTTATCTCTTTAAATGCAATTTCAGTACTTTTTTGTTTCTTTTACTTTTTTCTACTTCCATCTCTACTCACCCTGCCCAATTCAATCTGTGGGCCTTCATTTTAATTCTCAGTGTCAAAATGAGTCAAATCCATTACTACTAAGGGTTCAATTTCTTTTGTAGTATGAAAATTAGAGAGGTACTGCCCGGGGCTCAGAAATCTTTTTTTATTAAAAAGAGAGCTTTTGGTTGCATGCTATTTGTTGTAATGGGATTTGACCTGTATATCAATTAACTGTGCAACGAATTTATATTATAAAAGCATTTGGGGAAATGAATTGTTATTGTGGATGATAGCCATGTCATAGAATTGGATGTGAAGGAAAAAATTGATTCAAATCACCAGAGCTTATTTTCATGCCCCTGAAAGTAGTAAGTAGTAGAGAGATTGAAAAAGTCTTCTAGCTCTTACAGTATGCTTTAAAAGGCCATGTTGACTTGAAATAACCAATCTACAGTTAGAAAAATACTTTTGCTACAGACATAAAGATAGCCTGTGACTTTAATATTTTTTAGCAGGATATTTAAGGAGGAAAAGAGTTTCTTCATGCCTACATTATTGGCATGTGGTTGTTTAATTCATCAAAAAGAGTCCACAGAACCAAATTCCCCTCAGTATGCCTAAAAATTGGAGCAAGTCTTTTCCAGGTATCCTGGAGACTTAACCTTGCTATAAAATGACCAACTATAGCAAAGAAATCCGTATAGGGTAATATTGTTTTGAGATCTTGCCAAAAGCACTTTTTCAGTAAAGGTACCAAAATAATATTATACCATAACATATAGTCCTGTAACCTGAACTTTGAAGTCCAAGCTGAGTTTGGTGGACTTTCCTAACTTGGACCTCCCAGAGTTGTTCAGGAGCATCAACAGTGAACAACTGAACCCAGCCTAGAGCCTGAGTTCAGTTCAGTTGTCTGTGTAGGAAGAAACTCGATTATAAATGTCTGTAATAAATTAAAGACCCTTATTGGAAGCTGCTGTTTAGTTTCTAGGTCAATGTAGCTTAATACATACAAGCCCACCTGTCACATGGTGGGTCCCAAGGCTCCTTTTCTTTAACCTTAGTTTCGGGGCTCTAAAATAGAATTTCTATTTCACTAAGACAGCTCGTGGGACTCCCAAAAGTGAATCTCCTGTAATCTGCACAGCCTGTACTATGAGACAGCTACAAGTTTAATTGTATTTATATATTATATAGCTGAGTACAGATAAAAGTTTTGTTTTTGTTTTTATAGTTCCTAAAAGTGTCATTTTACAAGATACTAGATTACTGAGGCCTGTCCATTCTTAGTACAATAAGGGTTAAAATCAAATTTCCATGTCTCTACGTAAACTCTAGCATGTTGCAGGGTGGGGTGGAGAGGGTCTTAGTAACAAGATTTCTAACACAACATGTTAATTAGTTATGTAATCTTAAATAAATATAAATTTGTATTGCTTTTTTGATAGAATATGAATTAACTTTCTTTTGCTGATGGCCTCATTTATTCAATTCTTGAATTGAACTTCAACCCCTTAAAAAAGTGCATTTCTGAAATAAATCAAATTATACTGTGAAAGTAGCTTATTGCTGAATATTTCAATTTCCTGCTTTCCAAAAAGAAGTACCTGGGTCTCATGATGCAATTCAAGAAGCCATAATGATGGAACGATGCTAGTCAGATAAAAAAATATGGCTGGTGAAAACCTGTGAAAAAGGGAAGAAAAAAGATAGTTTAGCTTTCCCCCCCAAAAAAAAATTTAAAGAGAAGAAGGAAAAACAAATGCCCACATTAAGTCAAACCTTTTTATCTCAAGTGTTTATTTCAATGAAGAAAAAAGCATTATGTGATTTCTGCCATATGGAATATAAAGAAACAAAGTAACTGTAAAAGGCACTAGCAGCTGTCATTCTCACTGAATTCCTAATCTAATTAATAGATGTTAACTTTAATATGGTTTAATGGGATACTGCCAATTAGTTTCAGGCACAACACTGGATATTTTGTATTTAATATGTTTTGCAAAAAGCAAATACAGCAATAGTAAATCTTTGTTTTTTAAATTTAATCAACATTACAATGTTATTCGGCACAACATTTTCAACATTAACCTGGAACTCAAATAATAACAGTGTACTAGAACACAAAAATCTGATGATATGGGGGAGGAAGCGAACAGTTCACTGGTTTTGTGTATGGTTTGTTAAACCTGTAAAATAAAAATAAAAGCAACTAACAGCTGAAGCATTTGCTATTTTGTAAAAGGTTATCTATATTCACTATTTTCTGGCTCAGAATTCAGAGGGAAATCTGAAGAATGGACTTTTGTAGCCAGATGCTCTGGATCAAATGGCAGTTTTGCCGTTGACCTCTCAGTTCAATTACTAATCCGCAAAATGGGGCAGAAATTGTATCAGTCAACTTGGGTCACTGCACAGAATACCATAGACTGGGTGGCTTAACTACAGAAATCTATCTTCTCAGTTCTGTAGACCGAAAGTCTGAAATTGGAGTGTCAGAATAGTAGGGTTCTGGTGAGAGCTCTCTTCCTGGCTTGTAGACAGTGTCTTCTTGATGTGTTCTCAGTGATAGATCTGTTTCTCTTCCTCTTCTTTGAAGGTCACCAATTTTATCCTATTAGGATCCCACCCTTATGACCCCTATTTAACTTTAATTACCAAATTAATCTCCAAATACTGCCCCATTTGGTGTTAGGGCTTCAATATATGAATATGGAAGAGGACACAATTTAGACCATGACAGTTGCATTTATTTCTTGGGAGTTTTTACAACACTTTCTGTAAAGCAGTGTCTGGCAGAGATGGGCATTCAAAATATATATATACCTATTATATATAATAATAGGTAGTATTAGTATGGGACAGTGTGCAACAAATATGTCATTAAAATTTTGACATAAGATAAAAATAATATCATTTCCAAGTTTATTTTTTTAATTGTATTTTAAACTGGACTCTTATGATAGAACATCTCAATGTCAAAATTATAAATCAATGTGGTATTAAAATGCTTTTCATACATCCATGTGATGGTTTAAAATGACCTACAAATAGAAATAATTGCTCAAAACATAGAATTATTGAGATGAAATGTTACCAAAACTCTATAACTATAATTCAGTAAAGAAAATTGAATAAACCTAAATAGAAAGAGAAAATGTATAATAGATTTCTTAAAGGTTATTAACCCCTTCACTAATATCTTTTTTCAATTTCTAGGGAGAGGAAAGGAAAAAGGGAAAGAAGAAGAGATGTCTTTTTAAAAAATCAATATTTAATATAGATACCCTCCATTTGATTTCCTGAAAAAAAAATCTTGAAACAAAAGGTTATGGATTATGATATTATTAAAATCTGACTTCAAGACTTTGAAGATGGTGAAGTTGCAGAGAGAAACCAAAAGTCCATGTTGAGCATGCTCTTAAAAAAAAAAAAAGAACAATTAACTCTTTGACCTTACATATCAAAGGAAACATCAGGAAAGAACATTTCCTTTGTGAAACTGGGAAAGGAAATGAATTCCAGTCTGAGGGACAGTTGAAATATGTACATTTTTGTTTGAACACAACCAATATTGACTGCAATTTTGTTGACTCTTGGCATTAGTTTTGAGATTAACTCCCCTGTCAGTACTGTTAAAAATAATAATCTAGGGAACCACTGCCTGAACATAAAATAGCTCTTAAAGAGGTTAAATTAAGCAAACAATACACTTTAACACCATCTATGCATAAGATTTCTTTCTATAATTGGTAAAAGTATTATCCTGTTCAAGTTATTTCCTCTAATTAGGCAACTGGTTATGTAAACAAACAAACTTCAAGATTTTCTATGTTGCCCATAATAGAAAATCTAAACTCTATAATCTGATATTCAAAACCTCCATTATCTTGTCTTATCTCCACTTCCCCTTCCTCTTCTGTTACCAGATCCTGCCAAGCTGAGAACTCAGCAGTGTATTTTAAATAAAACAAAACAAAATGTTTTGAAAACTTCCTCTCACTTCAATCCTTCTTTTTTTTTTTTTTTTAGATTTTCAACAACTTTATTGTGACATATTTTCTGTATCATAAAATTTATTCATTTCAAATGTACAGCTCAATGATTTTAGTAACTTTACTGAGTAATGAAACCACCATCATGAATCAGTTTTAGAAATTTTAATTCTCCACCCTACTAAAAAAAAAAAAGAAAAGGTAGCTCATGTCTATTTACCATTAAAACTTTTGTTCTTCACTCCCTTCCAGGCCCAGACAGCTGTGAATTTACTTTGGTCTGAAAATTTTGACTTTTTTTTGAATATTTTATATTCTTATACATTGAATTCATATAACATTTGCTGTCTTGTGTATGACAAATAATTCTTTCACTTTGCATAAATTTTGAGGTTCATCTATGATGCAAGATATATTCATAGTTCATTCCTTTTAAATTACTGAATAGTATGGAATGCCATATTTAATTTATCCATTCACTAGTTAATGAGCACTTGTTTCCAGTTTTTACTTATAATAAATATTACAACTATGTGCATGTAACATTTATAACGTATAACATCATATATAAGGCTTTGTGTGGACATAGTTATTTTTATCTTAGGTAGATACCTAGAAATGCATTGTTGGGTCTTATGGTAGTTTTATGTTTAATTTTTTCATAACGATCACACTGCTTTTCTTTTTCTTTTTCTCCTTGTTTTGAGTTGGAGTCCCACTCCACCGCCCGGACTGGAGCGCAGTGGTCGCCCCTGGCCACCGCAGCCTCGACCCGCTGGGCTCCGGCGATCCGCCTCAACCCTCCAAGCAGCCGGAACCACCGGCGCGAGCCACCACACCCGGCCAACCTTCTGACTTATTGTAGAGACGAGGTCCCGCCAAGCTGCCCAGGCAGATCTCAAACCCGCGGGCCCACGCAATCCACTCACCTCGGCTTCCCAAAGCGCGGGACCACAGGCCGAGCCACCGAGTTGGGCCATCAAACTGTTTTCTTTCTTTTTTTTTTTTTTTGAGTTGGAGTCTCACTCTGTCGCCCAGACTGGAGTGCAGTGGCCGCTCCCGGCCACCGCAGCCTCGACCTGCTGGGCTCCGGCGATCCTTCCGCCTCAGCCTTCCCAGTAGCTGGAATTACAGGCGCACGCTACCACGCCCGGCTGATTTTTTGATTTATTGTAGGCGGGTCTCGAACCCGTGGGCTCAGGCAATCCACTCACCTCAGCCTCCCAAAGGCGCGGGATTACAGGCTGAGCCACCGAGCCTGGCAAACTGTTTTCAAAGTACTGCACAATTTTACCTTCCCATAATCGACTTATGAGAGTTTCCGTTTTGTCCACATCCTCACCAACATTTATTATTGTTTTATTTGTTTGTTATAATTATTCTATTTTGGGTAAAATAATATTTTATTATGAGTGTGTTTGCATATTTAATAAATATTTTCCCCCAGTCTGCGACCCCCTTTTCATCTTTTTAATGGTTTCTTTCATAATGCAAAAGCTTTGAATTTTGATGAGGTAAAATTTATCAGTTTTCCCTTTTATAGATGCTTTGGTGTCATATGTAAGAAATATTTGCCTAACTCAAGGTTTCAAATATTTTTTCCCATTTTCTTCTAAACATTTTACTATTTTTATTCTTGCATCTAAGTAAATGATACATTTTGAGTTTACGTTTGTGTATGATATGAGATGAAGCACATATTTTGGCTTGTGAATATTCAGTAGTCCCAGAATCATTTGTTTGCCTTGGCACATTTGTCCAAAGTCAATTCGCTACAAATATAAGAATTTATTTCTGGACTGTCAATATGATTACATTGACCTATATGACTATCCTTATGCCACTAACACCCTGTCTTGATAACTAACTTTAAAGTAAATTTTGCAGGGGTTCCTGCATGATCAATGTTTGTATACCTAACCCTGAATTGTACCCCACATCTTTACAATAAAAATTTTAAAATAAAATAAAGTACATTTTGAAATAATAAGTGAAAGTCTTGAAACTTTGCTCTTCCTTTTTAAAATTATTGTGAACATTCTAGGTCTTTGCTTTCCCATCTACATTTTAGGACTTCTTTGTTAATTTCTTCACAGTAGGCATTATCCTCTCAAAGAGCCCTAAAACCATGTCGACAGCTACAAATAGCCCTGTCATTCAGATGTCTGCAAACAGAATTCTCCATGCAGTTATGCCTCTCAGAACAAAAGTCACAACCTTTACAAACTTTGCAACAGCCATGAGACAAGGTGATCTGATGAGACTCTGGACAATCCAAAGCTGGACAGCCTGACCTCTCAACAAGTTTCAGGGTGTGATCAGTGTTCCATGGTTAGGTCTCAGCAGGCTGGATCCCGATCTCAGGGCTGAGGAGACGCGGCCAAAGTCTTAGAAATATGAGCCAGGTGCCCAGGAAAATGCATCTCCTGAAGGCACTGGCCTCGCTCCACCGCCGACACGGCCAGAGGGCCACACTCCGCCCCAACCCTGGGGTCGTTACGGGGCCTCGCTCCAACGCGGTCCTGGGCCTGGCACTGCCGCTGCTGTGGCCGACCGGAGGAGACCTAGCTCTGCCGCCACCGCTGGGGGTCCTAGCTCCACTGCCGCCAGGGCCCTGGAGGTGGACTTCGTGCCACAGCCGCCTTCGGTGGCCTAGCTCCGCCACCACTACCGCCGCCTCCTCGCGGAGGA